CAGTGCCCTCAAAACCGCTCCTGCTAGGAGAGCTTGGGATCGACAGGTAGAAAACTGGGGAAAACCACCAGGGGGTAGGGGGCAGCCAGACACACAGCAGCCAGCAGGCAGGCAGGCAGCAGCAGAGCAGGGAAACGGACACACGTGGCTCACCACCAGCTTCCCCTTTAATAAAACATGGAAGGTTATGTGACAGGAAAGGGGGAGCGAGTATGACCATTTACAACCACAAAAACCTCTGTACATGTCTAGCGCCTGGCAGAGGGGAAGCAGGTGGGAAGGTGGCAGTGGCCGGCCAGCCTCATTTGTAGAGGATATCGTAGTGTCCTGGCCGGTAGAGAAGGTAGACCTTGGGCTCGGAGCCCTCAGGGAAGACATGCGGGTTGGTGGTGCCGCCCTCACCACGGTCCATGTACTCCACCTGGATGGACACGCTGAGGGCCTGGGCCAGTGCGATGATGTGGATGTGGTCACTCTCCTTGCACATGGGCTCCACCTCCTGCAGCACAGGTTCGGGTCAGACCCACCGCCTGGTGCTCGACCCCACCCCCACGCCCACTAACCCAAGCAAGGGAAGAGGGAGGGTCCCAGGCAGCACCTGCTGACAGAACTCCTTGACAGTCCGCCCGCCCTCGATGAAGTGCTCGAAGAACTTGCTCTCACGCTGCAAGTAGCCCGAGGTGAGCAGCCGCAGGTACACCACCAGGTAGTCCGAGGTGCTCTGGTCATTGAAGGAGGCCAGCAGGTCGGCTACAGAGGTCTGCTTCTCCACCTGCTCGATCAGGTCCATGAACTGCCCACAGAGGGATGAAGGCCACAGTGAGGGAGGCACAGGACCCGACCCCACCAGGCCGGCACCCCTCCCCGCCCAGCCGGAGCCAGGCCTGGCTCACCGTGTTGTGGAAATCCTCAATGGTGAACTCAGTGAAACCCTGCGACACCAAGTCCTCTTTGCTCTTGGCAGACACAGCCTTGAACCTGTGGGTGGCAGGCCAGCATGGGCTCCCTGGCCAGCACTGTCTGGCTTCAGACAAGATCACCCTGACTCACACAGAAGCCCCAGGCAAGAACCCCACCGACTGCCTGGCCTAAGAGGGGAGGAAGGAGCCCCGTAAGTGCCCACCCTCCTCACCGCTGCAACTCCTTGCTGTCATCCAGCAGTGCCTCCAAGTGGGAGAATCCAAAAGCACGATAGAAGCAGTTTCCATCAGGCCTGGTCTTCCGGATGTATGAGTACTTTTTGTGGAGGTCCTGTGGAGAGGCAGCCCACACCCAACTCCTCAGTGTCAGGCCAGAAATTGCTCCAACAGAGGTCACATTATGGCAAGAGTCACACCACAGCAAGTAGCAGCAGCCACCTGCTGATCCAAGCTCTGGACTCCAGCTGTGGTGATGGCAGTCACCCCCCAAAAGCACCAGGAAGCAGTGTACACTTACATACAAACTGGTTATGTAAGTGACCAAAAGAATCACCAGCCACTGGCCAGGCTCTGCCACTGGGCTACAGGATGTTTGCTTATAAAAATGCGCAGGGGGCTGGGGTGCAGCTCAGTGGCAAAGCACTGCCTAGCATGTGCCAGACCCTGGGTTCAATCCCCAGCATGGGAAAAACCGTAACAAGAAAATGAAAAATGGCTGAATCTGTCCTGGACCAATGTGGCGTATCCAGTCTAACCCAAGAGAGCGGCAGGGGAACTCAGGGAGGAAGCCAGTGGCAGCTCCAGCCCTCAGCCAGACAAGAGGCCCCACTACACAGGCCAGCTCCTCCCAGGAGACCAGCCCTACCCCTCACTCCACTTCACCCAGCTGTCTCACAGATTCCATCTCCAGCCTTTCCCACTGTCCCCCCCACACTAAGCAGAATGTCCATTTGCATCTCCCCACGCTGATGGCTTTTAGTGCTGCCTGGCAAACAGGCCCCTCCCCACCCACCAAAGTGGGCTCTACCCTCCTTGATGCCACCTAGAAATGACCTTGTGTCCTTTTACACTGAGAACATCCTCAGACTCAGCTGTGAACTGCCCTAGGCCTTCTCTGCCAATCTGTCCCTCTGTCCTACCTGATGCCCAACAGTTCCTCCACTTTGTACCAGCCCATCCCCTCCCTCGAGCTCAAGGACACCACTCAAGGCCCTGGCACCCTCTACTCATCTCTCCCTACCAGTTTAACTTTCTGCATGTAAACAGACAGTTAAGGCCTTGCTTTAAAAAGTAAAGATTCAGCTGGGTGTGGTGGTGCACACCTATAATCCCAGCACTCTGGGAGGCTGACACAGGCAGATTATAAATTCAAACCCAGCCTGGGCAATTTAGCAAGACCCTCAAAATAAAAGGTGGGGCTGGAGATTAACTTAATGTGAAGATCCGAGTTCACTCCCTGGTACCCAAAGGAAAAAAAAAAGCAAAACTCAGTGTTGGGACATAGCTCAGTGGTAGAGCACTTGTCTAACAAGTACAAGGTTCTGAGCTTGATCCACAGTTCCACCCCGACCCCCCCAAAATCTCCTTGACTCCACATTCTGTGCCAGCTATGACTCAAGGGCTCTTCTCTGCAGCAAAACCGTTCCTGGTCTCTTCTGTAGGAGGCTGCTGCTCCAGCCAAGGTCACAAATGCCCTCCTAGGTCAGAGGATCAAAGCCAGCACTCCCCAGCCTGGCCCCTCAGTCAAACTGCCACTGTCATGCCCTCTGGGTGGCCACTTCTCCCACCAGGCTGGGCAACCCCACCCCTCCCTGTCCTCCACCCACCCACAGCACACTTCCTCAGACATGTGTAGCACTTGCCGGGGGACAGCCTGGAGCAAGTCCAGGTACAGCACCCACCTGCCACATGTGCAAAGGCCCATGGGCTGTGTACCAGCTGCTCACTCAGGCCTGAGACAGCTTCCACTTTGGTGACATTAGTGTCGAGAATTCAAGTGGCCCCAATGTCAATCTTCACCTAAAGCTCAGCCCTGAGCTCTGCTTCGGCTCCCACACCTCTCAGCACTACCAACCCAAACTCCTCGCTGGGGGAGCAGCTGCTCCTCGCTGGGGTCCTGAGGGTGCTACTGCCTTCTCCTCCCTCCCCTATGACAGCTTTTTCCTTGATCCAGCTCACATCCAACTGCCCCTCACTACTTAGCTTTACCACCCCAATCCTAGTCACTCCCACTTCCCTGGTTTTAATGCAAAGGACCCCTCACAGCAGCTCTCCCTACCTCTGGGGCCCTAGAGTCTGTCTGCACCATGGCAGCAAGAGTAACCAGCCGTTGGACTGGGGATGTAGCTCAGTGGCACCTCACCTACCTGGCAAGCGCAAGGTTGTGAGTTAGATCCCCGGTGCCAAAAATAAAAAATAAAACCAGTGTAACTGCAACCCACCTCCCTTAGTCTTTTCTGATTGTGTGCATCACACACACACCAGCCCCTCTTCCCACCATGCCACACTGCCCTCCTGTGAGCCCTCCCTTGCCTTGCCACTTTCTGTTCATGGCTTAAACATCACCTATTTAGGAAGGCTTCAGCCCCCACCCTATTTAAAGCTCCAGGCCCTTCCACTCCTAAGCTCCTTTTCCTGCTTTGCTTCTCCCTACAGCACTTACCACCTCCTCACATACCACTTTTTAGCTCCCTGTTGGCTTATGTCTTACACTCTGCACTGTAAGTTTCATGAAGTGACGAGTTTGTCAGTTTAGGCATCACTCCATCCAGGATACCTCAACAGCACCTGGACCACAGTCCGTGTCCGGGAATGTTAAGTGAATGTTAAGTGCACAAGTGCTTCAAAAAAACTGAACCGTCACTGCTACCACAACTAATGTGAGCAAGGACTCTGTGCCAAGCACTCAGCTGAATGCTAATACCCCTTGCTCTTCAAATCCTCACAAGGTGAGGCCCATTCAGCAGGAACTGAGCTGGCATCTGGGCTGCTTGGGCTCTGAAGTCACCAACCTGTCTCACTGTCCTGGGAGGAAAGGTGGGCTCAGGTGCAGCAGACAAAATGGGGCACTGCAGGCACTAAGGCAGATTTTTGCAGACAGCCAGCACTGAACACTCAGACATTTGCTGAACAACTCACTGGAAAGAACCCTAGGACCATCTTGCTGGCCTAGTGTGACAAGTAGGCCTGGAAATCCACAACACAGAACAGGAGGAACCTACTACTTCCTGCACCTTCACTGTGGCACTGAGATCAGAAGCTCAGTGGCTCCCCCCAACCCAACCCCACACCTGCCATGAAGAAGGAGACATTTCCAGCCAGAGAAGAGTGAACAGCAGCTCCAAGTTCAGAGTATGGCACTAGGCCACACAGCTGGAGTGTGTAGGCCTCTGAATACCTCAGGGCTACTGGGAAAGCCAGTGCCCTCAGCTGCCCTCAGGCCTCCTGAGGAAATCCAGAATACCCAGAGCAAAGGTGAGAGCAGACCACAGACCACAGATGTTCCCCCAGTGCTGGGAGGGAAGCAGGACCTGGAGAATGCCAAACAGGCGCTCTGCCACTGAGCACACCTGCCCCCAGCCCCACACAATGCTAAATGTGAATTAGGTGCCAAATGATAGAGTCAGGAGTTTCATTATTTCCGGCTTCTCTGGCAACAACTGAGTGACAACATGGCTAGTCCCTGCTGCCATCTGGCTGCTTCTGAACTATGGTGCCCTCCGCGTGCACCATCTGATCTCCTTGCCAGTTTCAATCACTGGATTACCTGTCTGGCACTGGACGGAAGGCCCCTCCTCCGGGCAAAAGGGTCTAAGCATCTCTGCTCTTTATGGGAAAAGTAGAAAGAGTAACATTTTCATCCAGGAGCAATGGCACACACCTGTGTCAGCTACTCAGGAGGCTAAGACAGGAAGATCAAGGCCAGCCTGGGCAACTTAGTGAGATCTTGTCTCAGAATAAAATTTAAAAGGCCAGTGTTGTGGCACATACTTGTAATCCTTGCACTTGGGGAAGCTGAGGCAGCAGGACTGTAAGTTTGAGCCCAGGCTGGGTGATTTAGCAATTTCATAAAAGTCTGTCACAGAACTTTTTTAAAAGGGGGGCCTG